CATAGAAACAAGATTTATCACAGCAAGTGAATTATTTTAGAAGTCACACAGTCTGTCTCCACTAGAAATGGCATACTTTCAAGTAACACCTATTAAATTGCCTTAGCGATAGATATTTTAGGAAACAATATGATTTTCTTTCTTCGTCTAAGACAGGCTGAGTGATGTCTTTCACAGCAGCATGCTATGAAGATAACTGCCTTTTGTCTGGTAACTCACAGTGTAAGGACAGAGCCAGGCTAAAGTGTAAGTGACAGACCACAGTCATGTACCCCAGGTTTTCAGTAAGCATCTCTCATGTCTTCAAAGAATCCTTCTAAAAGTGCAGAAAACATTAGAACTGTGTCCTTGGTCCTGTCTATCGAAAGCCTGAAAAAAAGCCAAGGACACGTAAGTTTTCTGCACAGCAAACTGTGTGTTTGATTTACCTGCTGTCAGGATCTTTCTCATCATGTGTACAGCATGAGAAAACATTGTACTGAGTCACCTCCTGCTGCTGCTCCACCACAGCCCTTCATAATGGCATTAGCAGTGTGTCCACACCTTCCTTCCTCTCAAATGCAACCTATGATGGCACAGTCCCCCACCACACTAGCAAATGTTCCTTCTTGGAGTAGCCCTCAAAGAAAGGCTTAGCAACTTTGCTTGGAGGTAAGACTGCAGTTCTGCTTGGGCTCTCATCCAGATATGTTCCCAAGGGAGAAGCAGCCCCAGCTCCTGAAATGTCTGGAACTCAAATGTGCTCTTTTTAGAGCACAAAATCAAATATAAAGATTTGTGCACTGGGCATGCATCAGTGAAATCTACCTCCAATAAAATGTGGGGTTTGTTCTTTTTTTTTTCTCCCCCCACATTTCTTCTCACAGAAATAAATTGCTATTTTTGCCTGGTACACAAATATGCTCATCACAAATAGCACAAGCAAAAAGTGACAAATATTGTCAGTGATGCTCTGACACTCTATCATGCTCTAGCCTGTAAAACAGCACTGAAACGTTTGATGTGGCTGATGTCACTTGTGACCTTTGGGGGCCTTCTCTTGTCAACTCAGCAGTAGTTTCACTCTTTGAAGGGTTCTCCAGTGACTCATTTCTGTGGGGGATTATGGAGGCCACAAGAACTGCCTACATGCTCACTTGGATGTGATGAACAGTTTCAACTGAAAACAACCCATTTTCACACATTCAAACCATTTAAGTGCAAACAGGTTTTCCTTTTGAAGCTTCCTTACAATTTTCAAAAATAACCAGATCTAAAACAAAGCCTCATTTATCACGAAAACTACACAAAACATTAATTTAGAGCTCAGTGAATCACGTGCTTTGGCCCCAAGTGAATTTGCTCTTTGCTTCCCATTTTGACAAAGAAAACCGAAATATTAAGAGTTAAGTTTGAGCTAGATATGCTTATGAGTTTGGATGGCTGGGCTTTATTTTTTTAGCTCAGCTAGAATTGAAAAACAATCCTAGACAGATTAGCCCAGAGCACTCCCCAGCTCCAAGGCTGGTTGCATACCAAACTTAGCAAAACACAGGCCAGGAGCATGCAGCAGCCAGTAACGTCAGGCTTCAGAAAGTCTATACTGGATCTCTGTTATGCTGAGCTTTTTCAGACTTTACATTATTCCCTATTGTTTCCTCATTGCAGCCTGCTGACTCTGGAGCTATATTAGCCAGAATCCTGCTCTAGGGTACTCTGGGTTCTGTCATCTTTTCCTTCCTCTAACTTCAGTCCATCCTCCTCCTCTAAAGGATATTTTATTTCCACATTTTTTTGATGAACTGTTCCTATAGTTTCTGCCAAAAACACAAGCATTGACTTTTTGGACTTGTTAGATAGCTGTAGGGCAGGAAAAGGAGAACCTGAGAATAGGTGGATGCCCAGTACTCCCTAGGCAAGAGAGCCATGGGTGAGAGCAGTCCAGACCCAATAGTGGGCCACAGAAAACCACAGTCCCTGAGCTGTAGGATCAGCTTTTGGGAACTGGCTTGCTCTGTTGGGCAGTGGGGTTTTCTCTTCACAACACTGCTCCTTTCAGACACTCAGTACTGAATGCACATGGGCATGATGTCAGAGGAGGACATAAAGGTCACTTGCCAGAGGAGGAAAGCATCAGCTACAGGAAAAAGGGCCCCTTCTTCACCCTCCTAGCACAGAAGTTGAGGACCACAGCAAGAAGAGAGCAGGGGCAGAAATCTCAGGTACTTTATCTCCGGACAGGATTCATAACCTCCAACAACATCCCTCTCCCTGTTACTGAGAAACACTGGGAAAGTATTTGTAGGCAAACAAAAGGATTTGGGTAAACAGGAAGCAGAGATGCACACCTTTTTAGTTTAAAAACTCCTAAGGAGTAACAGTAAGGGAATTAAAGGTGATTTGCATGGAGGCTGAGAGGAATTACCATTTCCACTAGACTAAAACAGCAAAGAGTGCTGAGCTAGCCAAAAAGGTTGCAGGGTTGATGCGGGTGACATTTCAGGGTATAGTCCCAGGCTGTGATAAAGGAATAAGAAACAGAAGACCTACAAGGTAAAAGCAAAATCCAAATCAGACACTTATTTAATATTTTTTATTTCAAAACCAGGAAACAACCACATTAATAAGCATATAAAATCCATCCAAAATATTCACAATGCTGTTACAGAAAAAGAAAATAACGAAGAGATACCATGTGAGAAAGGCCTACACATTTCGGTCCAAGCCAACACACATCTGATGCAAAGTATGGAATGCTCTTATGCACAGCCATAGGGGTAATTTCCTAACATACAGATACTCCATATAGAAATATCATGTCTGGACGTGCTAGAGGGTCAAAGGAAGGGCACAGAAATCTGTGTAACTGAGTCAAAATGTCAAAGTTGGGAAAGAAGACTTATATAATACTTCTGAGAATAAATATCTGGCATGTAAGCCTGATAAAAAGCTAGGTAAAATTGGATGTAATACAACTGCATTGTGCAAAGCTGGGGTATTTCAAATTAATTCACAGCAGCAAATTTAACTGATCTCTGCAACTGTATCATATTAGGGAAGATAGAAACATCATCACTAGTTACTGAAAACGTCAGACCCCCCAGAATATACATCAATGGGAACTTCTCTAACCTGTTCTGAAGCAGTATGTTGGTAAGAAAGCTTGGGCTATCTATGCTACAAAAGTCTTGCTGTCCTTCCTACCTTTCTGAGCCTTTCCTCCTTTTACCCAACTTGGACTCCGTGAGCTTACCTTTCTTCTAGCAAATCCAGTAATGAATTCCAGCAGGTAGACCTGAGTTTGATCAAGTCCAAAACTGCAGACTAGATGCAGACTTCATCTTAGAGCAGGAGTTTAAATTGGACCTACCTCTGTGCTACCTTTAGACAGCTTGTACAGGCCTGGACAGGCACAGGCCTGGAGTCTCTTGACAGAGCAGTGCAGTCACTGAAGTAAAGCTCCCACCCCTTGACTGCAAGTATAACCTACGTGCTACTTTTTGCCTACCTGAACTGAACTGTGCTAGCCAGAGTGCATGTACACACACACACACTCAACTGCCCAGCAGTATGACAAGTGGGGATACCAATGTTTTCTGATGTACAATTACTGTCTGCCACATCCCTTTTAACAGAGGCGCTATTATAGAGCTGTACACACCTACACAGCACGCTGCTGAGCACCACATCATCATGCAGATATTCCAGAGAGGATACATGGGGCAAAAACGTTAGGCCTGCAACCAAGCAGGGGACTGAGCACTACAGACCTTTCATACTGCTAAACTAGCAACTTCCAGTACCTCTATTTTCTAGTCCTGCATGTCTACTTTTATGAACTTACATGTACCATAACTGACCATGCCTGTGTCCAGAAGGGTCATGCTATATGCCTCTGTAATATTTATAGGAACAACTGCTAAGAAAAATATAGCTTTGAAAAATAATTTTTGTCCTTGCACGCCTTTAAGTAACAATCTGCAAATTTCAGACAGAAAAGCCAAAAAGAAAATCAAGAGAAGGCAGGAAAAGTTACTTTCTGGTTAGCAATCACCACCCTCAATCATCCATAGAATGTTTAAAACCATGTCTGAAAATATAATCTAACAACACTCATTGTAAGCTCCAATATCACTTCCTAATGAACACTTGGGAACAGTTATTTAAAATAGCCACCAAAAAATCCCTAATAACGGAGATTTTGGTGGAGAAACATACCTCTTCTCACAAGTACACAATTCCTTGAATTTCTTTCCAGAGGGCACAAATAACTTAAAGGTAATGTGCATAATTGGCTCTGTTGTACATACCACCCAAAATGATCTCTTTTTTAGTACCACATTCCTCCTTTACAGTCCTTATTGCGCCTCAAGTCTACAGCATCTTTTGTTAGAATAGCTATTTCTCTTAAACTTCCTCAATTTCTTTATCTGTACATTTTTGTACACCATTAAAAAAATAAATATTTACAAAGTGACATACAAATAAATAAACTGAAGTAAAAGTATGCTTTCAGTTTGTCTATACAAAAAAAAAATAAAAGAGCAGGAAAAATATGCATGTGACTTGGTCCCCTTTTACCTGAGGCTAAAAAAAGTGCACACTGGATAGGAAAAAGCAAACTTGGCTTTTTGGTAGGCTTGCTAAATTCCAGTGTAACACTGTACACACGCACACAAGATAGACTCAAAGGGCTGGGGACTTGTTTAGCAGGTCACTTTAACTCACTACAAAAATAGTAATTCAAATACATAATGGTCACTGTGTGCATAAGTATGTCAACCCCAAATGGCAATTTGATGTGAGGAAAGCAAAAAACATTGCCAGCTCTTCTCTGTTCTCCTTGTGTTTGACAGGAAAGACGAGATTATTTTTGCAAGTGCCAGGTGCTTTCCAGTATGGCAGACCACCCATATCAGATTCGATTAATGCTGGTAAGCCTGGCACAATGGGCAAGCATGTGGGTGAAAAGAAGAAAATAGCAGCAATTGAGGAGGGGAAAAATGTCCCAGTTCTCATGGTTTTCTTTGCTCATTCCTTTAATGACTCTTTAGGCATGTGAGAGTTGAAGAATGGGTGTTTCACAAATCTTAGGCAACTTCTTTGTTAGGTCGTATGCTGTTCAGCTCCACCATGGGGTTCTTCTCTAAAGGGGATGTAGGGTTGGATGCTGCTCGTCCTTCAAAGCCCCTGGAGATGTCTTCAAAAGTCCTGCCCTTGGTCTCCGGCACTTTGAAGAATGTGAAGACAAAGAAGATGACCAGGAAAACGAGGAAGATGAGGAAGACATAGGAGCCACACAGTTTCTGCAGGGAGGACAAAAGCAAGAGGTTTTGATTTGAAAATAAATCCAAATGCAAGGTCATTTGCCATTGACAGGTCAAAATTCCAACACATTTCTCCAACAATGCCCATCTTCTCATCGATGTTTTTTAAAATTAAATCAGGTTCCTGTGGGCTTCTGAAAGACTTTATGTTCCTAGGGGTGACCAAAATTGAGGCTTTTAAAGGGAAAGCCTTGATGTGCTAACAGAGATGGCTCTTTCAACTATTTGCAAGCTTCAAGCACTTGAGACACCAGAATATAAGGTGAGCAATGGCACTTCAGTAACAATCCTAAGACTGACTCAGGGACCTCCGGAAGATTCACTAGCCCTCTGCTCAAAGCAGTGACAGCTTCCAGGAGAGGTCAGGTTATTAAAGCTCACACAGTCATGTGCTGGAAGTCTCCATGGATGGAGATTCTACAGCCTTTCTGGACACCTATTCCAATGCTGCAGTGCTCTCACAGTGCTTTATAAACCAGGACTTACCTCTGCATAGGGGAAGAGCATTCCCACCAAGAAATTGGAGGTCCAATTGGAACACCCAGCCACTGCCATGGCTGCGGGCCGTGGGCCCTGGCTGAAGAGTTCTGCCACAATGAACCATGGGATAGGGCCAGGGCCAATCTCAAAAAGAGCCACAAAGCCAAAAGTGGCAACAATGCTGATATATTTGATCCATTCCAAAATGTCCTGCAAGGGAACAAAATACAATCAGCTGCAGTTTGAGGCAAACATGGCACAGCACAATGCCAACTCCAGTGTCACAACTTTCTCAGCTGCACTGTGAACACTGTAGCAGCTTCTAGAGTTAGAAAATCACGCTCCCTACTGCACACTCATGTATAGCCCCAGCTCTACCTGCCCTACAGGACAGCACTACAGATGTAAAGTCTTATAGGTCCCCTGCTGGGGTCACCATGAATAAGAACACTGTTTACTCACCTTCAGAGCTAAACCAACAGTCATAACAGCAGCACACACAGCCATGCCAGCCAAACCAACTAAATGGAGGGTCCTGCGCCCTGCACGCTCCACCAGGAAGAGCTGGGAAAAGGTTAGAAGAAAAATCCATTACTTTGGTAGCAAAAGCATAACAGGCTCCCTTGCTCAGTGTGTCCTGCACCTCTTTTCTCATCTGCCTGTAGCCCTCAGTGACAGTGGTGATCTCAGTGCAGATCACCAGACTACTCCATCCTCAGCACAAGTTTTTCCACTCTGGTTCTTGCTGCTGCTTTCTCTCATCACTTTTCCCCCATGCACTCCTTTTTCACCTTTCTTTTCACCTAGGAAAACAATACCTCTTTCTGCTCACCTCTCCTCCCACAAATGCCTTTGATTAATTCTTTTCTTTGCTCCTGCAGGTCATTGCCTAGCTCAATGCTTTGCCACAGCCACTGGCTACTTGTCTTTAGTCACATCTCTTAAAGAGGCCCAGGCCTCCTTCCACTCACCGACACAACAGTGAAGACCGTGTTCACCACGCCAGCTCCAATGGTGGCATACACAGGCTGTTTGATACCAGCTCTTTCAAAAATCCCAGTTGAATAATAGAATACCTGGGAAGAGAAGCAAAAGTTGGACACAGTCATGATCCCATGTTTGAGAGCATGTCCCTCATTCTCTGCCTAATTGGCTTGCACATCCCAACAGGGAGTTTCTAAGCAGCACTCCACAGTTCCAGTCACGGTTCATTCACTTGGTGCAAGGCTGCAGTGTCTTGCCACAGTGTGCGTGGGAAAAGTGAAAGCCAATACAATACCTCAGCCATCTTTGCCATATCATACAACAGTGACCTCCAGTCAAGGCACAAAGAGGTTTTTGGAGGTACAGTTCTCTCTGCATCAGTGGCAAGTGCAAGTTTAGCCACAGATAAGGGAGGCCCAGCAGATGGGACAGGAAGATAACTCACAGCATTGATGCCTGAGAGCTGTTGGGAGAGCTGCAGCATGATGGCAATGATAATGGCTTGACGATAGTTTGGAGAACGGAAGAGCTCCGGCACAGTGGCTTTTTTTTCTTGGGACATTTTAGCACTTTCTTCTTTCATCTCCTGGATGTCTTGAGACACATCTTGTGTACCACGGAGCTTCTGGAGAACTGGAGGGAGGAATCAAAAAACGTCAGGCATAATACTCAGACCTACCGGCCATGGGTGCGTGTCTGTATCCTGCCCTGCTATTTCAGGAAGGGCACAGCAGGAAGAGTGGAACACCTGCCAGCTGGTGTTTGGGCCTGTTACACGGGAAAGACCAAGCCTCTACATGCAGCCTTGCTCATCTTTTCAACCCAGGTCAGGGTGTTGTGATCAACATGGAAATCAGGCACAGGCCCTAGTCATGTTGATTGATCTCCAAACTTATATTTGATCTCAAATCCTGTTCATGCTCTTGCCAGAGCTGATCTCAGACCTCCAAGCTCCTTGTTAAATGTCATCCTATTTCCTGCCTTTCAGGAGGAGTGGCAGCAGCTCATCCTGCTACTTCCCACCAGGCCAGGTGCCACTCCTCAAGTCTTAATCCCACCTGGAGCCTCTGTTGGGATGCCAGGTTTCTCATGCTTTCTGGCATTGGTGCAACCTAAAGGATGGGAGGGTACGCCAGGCCTGATGCCCTCCAGGAGTCACACCCTAATCCACCACAGGCTCCAGAGTCAGACCTGGCCTCCCACTCAAGCTCAGTGTAGGCTGGGAGCCAGAACACTGCCCTGCCCCTTCGAGATGAGTTCTTACCTGCTTGTGCTTTCTCTTCTTCCATCTTGTTGATCAATAGGAAACGGGGGCTCTCAGGGCAGAAAAGAAGACCCACACACTGCAGGATTGCTGGGAGGACTGTGAACCCCAGAAGCAGTGGCCAAAGTGCTTCAGTCCCCATGATTCCCTCCAGGCCAAATATCTACACCAAGAATTAGAGAGAAAGCAGAGTGATTTAAACACTTCAGTTCCTCACTCCCACCCCAGTATTACAGGATCACATACTGCACCTGATGGCAAGTACAACCCTCCTCACCCTCCCCCAGCCCTCCTTTCCCTCCCCCACGGGTATGAGCAGGTTGTGCCAAGCCTACCTGAGCCACCAGGATGCCCACAACAATGCCCAGCTGGTTGAGGGTGCCAAAAGCTCCACGGACACTGGTGGGTGAGACCTCACTGATGTACATGGGCACAAAGCCGGTGCAGAGACCACAGAAGACGCCAATAATGAAGCGGCCAATAATCAGCATCTCCACTGCCTTTGCCGCCTTAGAGAAGGCCATGAGAAGGCCACCAGCAAAGGCCAAGACATTCACCAGTAGCATGGAGTTCCTCCTGCCCAGGAAAAGATGTTAAGACTGAGCTTAAACTGCCAACAGGAAAATCGCTGGGAGGAGGATAAACCTGACCATGATCTCCTGTCTCAGTGGTGGGAACAGAATAATACCCATTCAGCTCCTGCCTTGACCTGAAACCCTTCCTTTCTTTCTTCAGCCCACATTCTCGCTTCATCCCCAGACATCTCCTCCCTTCCGCTCACCTCTGCCCTCTTCCTCCCAAAACTGCATTGCAGAAAGGAAAAATACCCTAACAGATTGTATCCCTCATCCCAACTTACCTGCCAAATCTGTTGACAAACACGCTGACTGAGAAGGAGCCGATCATACCTCCTACTGAGAAGATGGCCACAGAAAGGGACCACAGGGAGGTGAGGAGCTCTTGGGAGACAGCCCTCCCACTCCTATCTGACAGGGTTTTGTTGAAGAACGCCCGGATGATCTGCAAGAGATCAGGTGGAGACAGTTACAATCCAGAAGGAGGTATTTTGCACTGGTGAGAGGGGAGACTACTGTCTTTCTTGTTGCCATGAAAACAGTAGACCCCCCCACCCAAAAAAAAAAAAAAATCAGCAGGCAGCAACAAGTCATACAAGGGGAAGATGAGGGTGCAGAAAGAGGAAATAGCATGATGAGGGAGAGATTGCTTCACTGAATTGGGGGTTGAGGGTGGGCAGGTGGGGTACACACAAGACAGCAGTGTTTATTAGGGAAAACAGGCTTATCTTCTGAGTATTTTGGATTTGGTGAGTCACTGGTGGTTCTTGGGAGGAGGTGTGAGACAGTTGGGAGTGAAAGGGAACAAGAAAACGTGAACAGAGAATGGAAGGGGACATTTCTGGCAATACCAAAACACTGGAAGCAGGGAGGGGCTTTCTGGTATGGACATTGTTAAAAGAGACACAAGGCTTCACTGAAGGATGAAAAGCAGCATTATGTAAAACAACTCAACAAGGCCATGACGCTGATTTCAAAGGCATTCCCCCAGATAATGAGGGAAATTTTGCATGGGCTGGGGGGACAGAGTGTCTGTCCCCAGCAGATGGCAGCAGGACATTAGCTAGGGAGGACCAACCCCCATCCCCCATCCCGCTGGTGATGTGACATCTCTTCCCGGAGCCAGGGTGGATGTGGTATTGGTGACTCAGTTCTTGAGAGAGGAACCATCTTAAAGTTACATGAAAACCACATCTCTCATTTTCTTCATCTCTCCTTTCTTAGGCTACAGTCATGAGATGATTCGGTCAGAGTGCCCAAGTCACAACCCTTTTGCAAGCACTGAATCTATACTTAACACAAGGAATGAATAAACAAGTAAAGAAACCTGAAATAAACTAAACTAGGGCAACTGTAATCCTTACCAACCCTCCACTGTTTTCTGCACACTGCTTGCTACATTCGTTCTGCCATGGCTGGTTTATTCTGACTCAAAACTGAAGTTGCTCACATTCCTCCACATACTACATATGGCAGATGGAGCCCTCCTGCTCCCCCCCCCTTCCTAATTAGGAGAATTAACCTCTCTGTGTGCTCTTTCTCCTCCCCAAAAGTTTGCCCTTCCTGTCCATTGTTGTATTTAAAAGGGGACTTTAAACGCCTTATTGACTTCATAAACCAGAACCAAATATAAGCTTGGATGACAGTCCCTCTCCTTTGTCTCTGTTTTCCCATCAGCCCCTCACTCACACCATCTCCCCAGCCCATTCTAGTTCTCACCTTCTCAGGTGCATTGATGACACCAGTATTGTACCCAAACTGAAGAGAGCCAATGGCAGCAATGCAAACAGCATAGATAAGGGGTGCTGTGACTTTCTGTGGAGAGAGGAAACATTTAGTTAATTTGACTTTCTAATCAACTTGAGTTTCTCTTCAGCATGAACAGCAGCTGCACCTCATAGGTGCCATATGCAAGCGCACCAAGGGCCTGGAATGGCCTTTCATCCAGCAAAGGTAGGTACCTACCAGTAGCATCCCCTGGATCTCCCTCCCTGGAAAGGGAAATGCAACTGTACAGAAGGAAAAAGTTCTGTGACTACAAGTGGGAGAGGCCTTGTCAGGGCCTCCCCTTTATTATCTCCCGACCTTTAACAACTATTCTCAGCTCATTAGTAATGAATACACTGGCTGCATTAGTAGCTGTTATTTTGGGTTGATCTGCTTTACAGAAGCTTTTGCTGATCTCTGGCCTGTCATGAAAGAAGGGTCTAACTTTCCTGTGCCAGCTGACAAGTTCCCATAAACTGAGTCTCAGATCTGCCCATGAGCTACACTGGCAGTCACTCCTAACAGTTACAACACGCACTCTTCAGCAACAGGCTTGTTTTTCCCAGGCTAGAGCTTCCCAACCCTGCCCCAGGGCACCTGGCACAGCAGCCTCCCTCAGAGATGGCAACAGTTACTGCCAACCTTCCCGTTTATTTTTTCTTGAAGCTGTGGCAATAGTCGATATTTTAAATGAAGCACACTCCCTGGAATTTCAGTATATGTCAATCTCTGTTAAATTAAAATAAAAACTGCTGAGCCCTCAGAGCCATGGAGAAAGCTGGAAGGTCCAACCCTCAGAAGTCTCACATACTGAGAAATGTGTCAGTGAAAAACATCTGACATTTTATTCGGTTTTGAAGCTTGTGGCATTTAAGCCAGCTCCAAGTGAGGGAGGTGTGGGGGAGCAGGTGACTCAGGAGCTGGCGCTTAGGCCAACAGTGCTTGAGTTGGCACAATTTGGAAAGATCGTGTTTCCATCTCAGGAGGAATTGGAAGCTTTTCCAAAAATATTAACAGTCCCTTTTCCAAGACTTTCCAATTATTGTACTTATACTGGCAGAGTAGAGATAAGTACTTGGTGGGGCCTACTATCACAGCTCTTTCAGTCACTCACTTTCTAGCCCAGCTCCAGTAGCAGCTCACAGAACTGCCCAGTTTTTGGTAATAGCCTTCTTCCAGTGCTCATACCACCTTCACCAATCTTTCAAGCCAAGCATGTATGTCCTTCTGGCCTGCACAACCCTAAGACGCCTACCAGTTCGGCCCCAGTAAACAGAAACTGAGGAAATTACTCTCGGGCATGGCTTCCTCCACCTACATCATGTAAATGTCTCAAGCTTGAGTTCTCTTCCTGCCGAGGTCAGTAATGGAGACAGAGGGGACAAGGTGCAGATGTTCACCGAGGTAGCATTCACACCTGAACACACCCTAGGCAGTCTAGGCATTCTCCATGGCACCCTGTGACTTCTCCCCTCATCTTTATCTCGAGAAAATTTGGCACAGAACCACAAGGACGCAGCTCTTTCAAAGCATCTGGACGATGCTGTAAAAAGGAATTACAATATTTAAGCACTTTTAAGACCCCAGGCTAGGTCATCTTTAGTCAGTAGGTATAGTTAAACTGCGAACAAAAAAACCCAGCTCTCCACATCTTCAACTCAAGAGCACCTTTCCCCCAGGACTCTGCTTTGTCATGGTTTGTGATGACCACAGCTGGCCTTTTGCTTCCGGCACCTTGCTTTGTGGGTACCCCTCACCTACATGGCACATACATAAGCTGTAAGTTGTTCTGCCCTCCTTCATACTTCCTTCTCCTGGTTGTTGCCTGCTATTTCTCTCCTACCCAGCCTCCTACCACCTAGCCATCACGTGGCATGACCCATACCCTCCAATGAGCCAGGCCGTGATCTAGTGTATGGATCATTTGTTACTGTTGCAACTGCCTCACTCCCCAAAAGGCAAACAGGGAGCTCAGAAATAGTACAGCTCCACCCACTCTATCTAAAGGCTCAAGGCTGAGGTCTGTACACCAGCAAGGAATTCACACCACCCCCCCTCCCTCCGACCACAGGCATCAGTAGCATTCGTTATCCAGGAGATGCTCCTCACCAGCTCCCCTCCGTCACCGAGCGGAACTCCAGAGCTGTACAACTTGTTGAGCCCGGCGGCAGCAGCCTCTCTAAGCGACCTTGACCGGGCGCTCCCCTTTTCTCTGCCTCATCCTCTCGCACTGCCCCCATCTCCCATCAATATGGCGATGCAAGGCCTCGTCCTTCCCCGATCCTGCTGTTCCCGTCTAACTATAATCCCCCGGCATCCCGCTCCGGGTTCCGCTGGGAATTTGCTGTCTCTCTTGGTACATTCAAACACACACATCATGAGCTCGCGCCACTGCTACACACCTCACTCTCAGCTGCAGATGAACTACGATATCGACAAATGTCCCCAGTTCTCCATAGGAGAAAGAAGGGAAAGATACACTTCGCCGCCTTCTTGAAATTTAAAAATGCCTTTATACTCATGCCACCACCAAACAAAATGCCTTTAATAACAACCCCCCTTCTAGCATCCTAAACCCTGAGACAAATCGAGTGCGGCGCTGCCAGCAAAACAAACCTCGTGATCAATACCCTAAAACCCGGACAGCGTCATGTGCATCATCAGGCCACGCGCATGAAACCAAATCGATCTTGCGACCTACAACAACCCGTTCCAAACTGTGCCCGCCCCCGTGCCCCGTCTCCCCTCCCGCAGATGGGGGTTTATTCCGAGCCACCCTCCGAAGGGGCCAAGCAGCGGCCCTGCCGGCACCACCGCCGCATCCATCTTCACTGAGACCAACAGACACCCGGCGCGGCGGCGGCCACCGAGCCGACAAGCAACCCCGGCCGCCCGCCGGTCGCGACAGCATCCCCGCTTCCCGGCCCTCCGCCGAAGCGCCCGGGTACCCGAGCGGCGAGGGGAAAGAGGACGAGAAGGAACCCGCGCTCCCCATCCTACCTTTTTGTCATCCATGGTCGGCGGCTCCCGGACAACGTCTGCGGGCGAACGGCCACCAGTCCCCACCTAACGGAACCCGCGAGGAGGCGGCGCCGCACCCGCCCACGCCCGAGACTTGGTGCGCGCCCGCCCCGCACGGATTTATGGGCTCGCCACGGGAGGGTGGGAAGGAGGGGCGGGGAGGGGCTGCCGGGCATCCTGTCATTTCTGTTTTCAAGGAGAAAAAAAAAAATCACGAAACACCCCTCCGAGCTCGCACCACTCTCTGACGAGAACTTGCGTGCCGGGCGGCCAGGCGGTCATGGAGCGGGGCGGGCGGTGGCACCGGGCGGAGCGTGCCGGGCGGCGGGGTGGCCATGGAGCGCCCCGGCTCCGCTCCCCGCTCCGCAGGGACGCAGGGAGAAGGCACGGGCGGCGGGGACAAGGGCCCACCGCACCTTGGATGTCACGGGCAGACGTTGGCTAATTGGTACAATACCGCTGGTTTGCGCCGAAAGCAGCTGCGTGGCACAAAGCGACATCTTTATTTATTATTTATTGTATTTAAAAATAAAGATATTTATTATTCGGTCTATAAGCCAAAGCAGCAAGGCCGGCAGTGACGGTGCAGAGAGGCAGCCACACAAACAGCACGGGCAGAAACCTGAAGTCTAACGCTGTGCTCTGTGGGTGCTCATCCCTCCTCCCAAAGCTGTGCATGAAGCACAATTCTGGATAGCTGAGTTTGGGGGATTTTTTTGTTTGTTTGTTTTGTTGGTTGCATGTTTTTATTTTTAAAAACAAATTTTTCCTATGATGCTAGAATCTACGGGGGCAAAGCCAAAGCTGCATTTAGCCTAAGACTGGCACCCTTCCTTACAAGGGCATGTAGTGACAGGACAAGAAGGAATGGCTTCAAAATGACAGAGGGCAGGTTTAGATTAGATAATAAGAAGAAATTCTTTACTGTGAGAGTGGTGAGGCACTGGCACAGATTGCACAGAGAATTGTGGATGCCCCTTCTCTGAAAGTGTTCAAGGCCAGGTTAGATGGAGCTTTGAGCAACCTGGTGTAGTGGAAGGTGTCCCTGCCCATGGCAGGGAGATTGGAACTAGATGATTTTTAAGGTCACTTGTAACCAAAACTGTCCTATGATTAAATCAAACTAGGCTACTGTGCTCCATAGTCATTTACTGTCCATCCTTCAGGTCAAACAATTACCAAACTCTTCTAGGAGAATAATGAAGAGCTGTGCTTTGAATCTCAGGCAAAACTGCTGTCAAACAATAGAAGTCTTCACTGAATTAAGAACCTGTCAAGGACTTCGACTTCAGCAAATGGCAACAGCTGAGAGCTGGGGATGAGGGCAAGGACAGGGGGAGAAACCTGACAGCCTGTTTTTTCATTGTTAGAAAAAACACCTTGAGACCAGACACCACTTTTGTCATAAGATTCTGGGGAACTGGAACAATCACATTTTAAATTCGCTTCTTCTGTTTGTTTGGCGTGGTCACCTGGCCACATATAACTGGAAATCAACAGGTCAAAGCTTTCCCCCACTCACCCTCACAAATACCCTTTTATTTTATGGCATTTATAAGGGTGAGTGAGGTTGATAAATACTCATGGGATATTTATGTGATAAGTACCTCGTGGGTATTTGTGTGGTGTTAAAATATTATTTCCAGCAGAAAAAGCTGTGTAGAAGGGCACAGGATGCCTGCACAGTCCTCTTTCTTAGGCTATGTGACAAAAGCTCCTCTTCACACCCACAAAAGAGGATGGAGAGACAATAGCAGAAGAGAAGCCCAACTAAGACCCTGCCCCAGCTACTCCCAGGCCCATCAGAAGAGCCATTAGCACATCAAAGGTCCAATTTTCACACACCCGGAGGAAAACAGGGACACAATGCCAGGCGACAACCCGGATTAAGGACTCAGAGGAAGGGACACCCGGCCTGGGCCAGGTGCCGTCCGAGGAGAGCCATCAGCCCTATTGTTCAGGTGTGAAACTCATCACAAAGCCAAAGCTGGAGCAAGCACCTTTTAGACTGGGGAAGAGGTGGTGCTGCGTGCAGGGGCACCGGACACCTTACAGGATGCAGGGGAAGAGAATTTTGGGATTGCACAGGACTTACTATGGGATGTTTAGGGGAGGAAACAAAGAGGAAAAAAGGAGAGACGAGGGGGAAAAAGGGACAGTTGCATGTCAACTCTTAGCTGGCCAGCACAAGTGTCCAGCCTTGTCCTGCGCTTGATTAGCACCGTTTGCCCAATCCTGTTAATTTCTATTTCTAACTCTTTTCCTTGGTGAGGTGTTCTCTATTTGGGGGTGGGGGGTGTGTATGGAGGTCTGAGTGCCGGGTCACAGTGGCCCATGTGCCCAGGGTGCAGCAAGTACGGCTGTACAGATGAGGGTATGAGCACAAATAAAGATCCAACCAGATAGCTGGCAACCAGGTGAAGCGGCCTGGGAGCTGGGCTGCCTGTAAGGGAGGAGCTGCCTATCGGAGGGACCGGGACAGTCCCAGCCAGCTGCTGGAGAGACTGTGGGGTCTGGGGGTCTATAGGGGTGAGAACCACTGGTGTCTGCTTGTCTCTAAGGGCAAGGCCATGGCAGGTTTGCTATAGAGGGACCAGGATTGTCCTGGCCAGGACACCTGAGTGCATGTCTGTGTGTGTGCATCACCAACAGGAGTGGGGCTGCAGCCTCATGCCAGCGTCAGGGAGACTGGTATCTCGGGTCAGACTCTCTGACCCCAGCTCCTGGAAGGATCCACTTTACCATATTTGCATATTTACATATATATATATATATATATATGTATATTTCCCACTACTGGACCTCCATCCTGCTTGTTTCATGAGGCCATTGGTGCTGCTTGTGTCTGTGTAAATGCACAGTGTGTCTGTTGATCCGTGTGGCAGCCGTGTATATACTTGTACATATGTGATGCATACATGTGTTTTTATGCACGTGCCTACAGGGAATACATGGTCAGCCTTGCTACCGGTTGCACCTGGGAGCAAGGAGCTGTGTCCAGCCTAATTCCCTAACCCTCTTTGACTAATTTTGGCTCACACTTGTTTTTCCTTTTCCTAGTTTATTTCCCATTTGTTTGCAAACACAGCAAACTCTACCTTGAGTCTGATCACCCAGATGTCTCAAACTTTGGCATTAGCTCAGGAAACATTAATTTACTAGTTAGTATGAATAGTTGCCATATTTGTGGAGGCTCTAAGCATATCCAAATTGTAGAAGCAATTTTTGGACTGCATTCTTCTGAAATGTCCTCATTCCTTGTTTATTCTTAACCCACATGAATCTGTTGCTAGTGCTAAGCAATCCAAACTTCAACACTAGATTAAATACATACCAGTCCAATTTAAAAGCAATAAGAGTTCAGCTGAAAATTAAGTCTCTTAACACATAATGCAAAACATAGTGGGTTGTACTTCTTTATTTTACAGTGCTGGCAAAGTAAACAGTAGTAAAAAAGAGACACAAGCTCAAAATGCACCACTGGAACCCAAATTTTCCTAAGGAATGTGGGAAAAACACCCATTTCAGTGAGTTTTGCCCCATTTGCTGATGCTTAAATATTCACATTTGAAGTTTGCATCATAGGCTGTTCCTCCTAAATACCAGTTTTGTTTCTGTCCTAGGACACACACCTACCTCCCACATCACAGATCACTTCTGGGGGAAGTACCTTAACAGCTCCTTAGCAGGGCTATCTGATACAGCACAAGTAAAACTAATCACCTAGATTTTTCTGAATGTAATACTCGTATATTATGCAAAATGCATTAACTGGCTAGGATGGAGGCCCACTGCATGTGGACAGGCAGATGTAAGATTGCTAAGGGAAGGGCAAGGCAGAACCGGTCCCAGGTAGAACTTGATGCTGTCTGCCCCACATTAACCACCAGTATCCTAACCACAGAGCTATGGGGATTGGGAAAGGCTTGCCTTCTGCTTAACAAGCTTTTTTCTTTTTAGCTTTGAGAACACTTACATGTCTAAACTAGTGCATGCCAACTAACGTTTCATTTCCAGGGAGCTTACATTTTCTGAGGAAAGCTGGTTTAGTCAGAGAATCCCTATCTAACATTAAGCAAGAGCCCCAACAATGGGCAAGCCTGTTCTTATTTTGATTTATTTCAGAGACTGGAGCTGGCAAGTCACAGAATCACCTTGCTGTGGCTTTTTGAGAACATCAGTGGAGGTCCAGCAGGTACAGTTCTCTGGCAAACACGTTTCATATACACAAGGCCTTGGCTCAAGGCACAAATGAGAAGGCACCAAAAATTGGGTGCTAAAAAAACCTCGAACTAACATTTTTGATCCTGACCATGCCTCCACAACCTAATGGGAACAGAGACTGATCAACAGGGATAGATCACCCACAGGGGCATCACTGTGCTGTCCAAGCTCCTGGGAAGCTATATTTCACTTTGCCCTACCTGCTTTGTCAAATCTGCCCAACTTGCTGCCCCATATGATGAAGCTTTTTCTAGTCTCTCTCTTTTGCCTTCAAATTTGGCAAACCCTTTCTCATGTTTCTTCTTATTTTGCCCGGAGAGCAAATTCTTCAGAGATAAGAGGAGCAGGGACAAGGAGGATTATTATGCAGTGTTTGCCTTGAGAGCTGATTTTGTGCTTTTCTGTTTGTTGTATTTATAACAAAAGAGCATTCAGAACAAAAGAGAGAGAATGAGAGCCAGCATGGGCCAGATGCTTCCCCCTCAAGCCACGAGTAACTTTTATTGTTGAGAGGAGGTTGGGGGGGGGGAAGGAGGAAAGATAAAAGAGAGAAACAACAAGATGGGTGGGATGTAGGTTGGCCCGTACACAACAGGAGGTTGAGTGAGAAAGGAACCAATGGAGACACGGAAGGCAAAAACAAAAAGACATAATGAGGTAAAGAAAGAAAGCACTAAAGCAGATTAAAAGGGTGAGGCAGAGGAATAAAGGAGAAAAGGAAGGAAAGGCAGCGGCAAAATACCAGAGGAAAAAGTATAACCTGTGAACTAGACAGAAAATATGAACAGACAGAGAGAGGTACAGGAGGAAGCTACAGAATTACCCAAGTAAGAGAGCACAGACATAGTACTGCAGAGATCATAGCATTAAATCAAAGT